TTAAAGTAATGATTTTTTTTTTTCTCATGTAATTTCAGGTGACAACTTGAAAGTCATACAGAAATGTCGTCTGGCTGAAGATGTCAGACCTCAAAGCAGAAGCCCAAGAGGATCAGGTAAAAAATTTTTGTAAGGCAGTAATTAGGATTATTAGCTGCAACGAGAGAGAGAGAGCTGTTCAAGAGGCTAACGTTCTGGGCGAGAGGCGGGGTCACCTGGACAGGTCGCCAGTCTGTTGCAGAATCTCATGTGCCTTTCAGTCTAAAATTGTGTGAATTGTTGTATATTATCCTATAGCTGGACTTTGTTATGCATGTTTCTCTGTAACCAATGAAACGTTTTGTTTCATAAAACCATGAATGATGCACGTCTCAGTTTAAAATATATAAATTTTGTCTGTTTTTCAGAGGCTGTACCAAAGAACCAAGTGTCTGATTCAGAACACCAAAAGTTTTAAGGCTCAAGGTTGTCTGGTTTGTTTTTTTGTTTTGTTTTTTTGTTATTATTTTGTGCATGTGTCAACGCTCATAAAATAAGTTCTAGTGTAAATATTTCTTTTAAAATTATATTTTTAAGCACCGGGTTACTTTGACTTTGCTTTGATTTTTTATTATTATGAATGTCTTTTCTAAAAACCCATTGTATTAAAATGTATACTGTGCTGTTTTACTGTGTTCTAAGAAGATTTCATGTCTTTTTGGTACATATGTATAAATAAATGTGATTATCATATTTTGTTGTGGGTAGTCTTTAATGTTAATACTATAAAATTAATAAATTCTTTGCCAAGTGTTTTAAGTGGTTGTCATCAATTTTACAATTTATTACATTAGATTAATATGTCTTGGAAACGGAAGACAACCGTTCCATGTGAAAACAGTAAGTGTGGGGCCAGCTTTCCTTTTCTACAATTTGTTAAAACATTGGATTAATATTGCATAGTAATGGAAGACAACTGTTCATCATGAAAACCTTGCATTCCAATAAAATTGCTGCTATGTTAGCATTTCCACGGACCTAGCATAACCATTATATAGCTTTTGATTTTTAAAAAGAAAAATGCGAAAGTCCACTGAAAGTAATCAGCGGACATTCAAATGAAAGTCCGCTGAAAGTCTAATGGTGATCGATTTTGAGTCCGGTGAATGTCCCGGGAGGACGTCCTGTGGACGTCCTTTGGAGTTTCATTTGGACGTCGATCAAACGTAATCACTGGACGTTCGGCGGATGTTCAAGACAAACGTTAAGCGGACGTGCTCCAAACATTCAATGCTAGCTGGGGTGACATTCACAAACGATCCGATTCTTCTGAACTTCTCTTTACTAAGAAAATAGGACTGAAGCCTCACTGAGAGCCGTTCTTGTAATGCTCTGCGTAACACTGCAGTAACTATCATTATTTTATTTAATTATATATATTATATAATTATAATATATGTGCATGGCAACTGCCATGCACACATGGCAGTTGCAATGTGTGCCATGGTGGCAGACTGCCTGGCTTCATGTAGCAGGAGAGAGGGTGAGAACAGTCACGGCGAGCGTCTTGTGCTTGGTTACTTCTTGCTTGTTGCTCTTTGGTCAGTTTTCATAGTTGAGCGTTGTTTACCATCAGGGCATTGCCATGATTGCTATGTTTTATGGTGCAGACAGGGGTGATTTCTGACATGAATGATATGGGCAAATGCCCAGGGCATTGTCTTTTTAGATAAGCAGAATATTGGTTAAATTTATTTCAGCTCTAAGTATTTAATGTCTAGGTCTTTTTTATGGAAATGTGAAGCTTTCAGAGCAATTTGATTAGCAATTTTGATCATATTTCACATTTTAATGTGTCATGTAGCGCGAGGCGCTGGCCTTGGTCTTGACTACAACACTGCTTCTATGCACCACAAATCATAATAAATGGAACATTGACAAATATGTATGATGTGCATTGATAATTTTTATGATAGTACTCATCGAAATATTATGTTTGATACTAGTTTCTCAAATTGGTGACTGTATGATGTTTTTATGACTTTAATTCAGTAATTTTAGGATATAAACAAAAAAAACATATCCTTCATGGGGCTAACTGTTCAAAGCAGTTAGTGGGCTAACTGCCTTTTTGGTGAACTGTGCTATACAAATAAAATTGATTGAATTATTTGTGTTTTAAATAATATTTATATAAAAATTAAAAGTTAGTATGTTTATTTTTTTGAGAAATAATTCAAAAAATGCTTTACTCAAATTATTGATTTCAAGGAAAATATTCTCAGCACAATCCTTCTGTAGTCACTGCTTTTTTAATTACTTCAAGGAGTCTTGCATAATCAGCAGCTCATTTGCATTTCCTCACAATGTTCTGCCTCACTTATTACCTGAAACCATTCTTAGCTGTGCCTCATTTATTTTAGACCTCTCAAAGTAGTATCTTTCTTCTAGTAGCCTTTTCCAATGAAAACAATTACATTTGTAATTTTGACAAGGTTTTATCCAAAACAGAAGGTGAACAAGAATAAACAACATGTGTTTACCTGCACTCCCAGAATTCCAAACACGATGAAAAATGCACAGCAGATGAGAACAATGTTCCCAATCGGTCTAAGAGATGTAATCAGGGTCTCGACAACCAGTTTCAAACCTGGAGCCCGACTTATCACCCTGAAAAAAACAAAAACAACACTTGTGTACAGTGCTGTGAAGAAGTATTTGCCCTCCTAAAAATTTCTTCTTTCGTTTTTGTTTGTCACTCTAATATTCTAATTCAGACAAAAATAGCATGAGTAAATACAGAAAGCAAATTTCTAAAATGACTGTTTGCCTCCATTTCTTTTAAAGAATGAAGGAACAAATCTACCAACATATTCATATATTTAACTTGCCCCTGTACCTTTTATCACACTTAACAACAGATGAGTCAGTCAGCAGCAGCTCTAGCCACCATACCAGCCTAATCTTCCCGTCCCAGTGATAAAGGTGAGCAACACTGTGTTCAGGGAATTACAGGGAATCCATAGAGATTTTTCCTGTCTCTCTGCTCTTTTTAGAATTACACAACAAACAATATTTAATACTGACAGAAATTCAAACAATCTTTATAAAAAGATCATAAAAAAATGGCCTCCTGTCAGTCCAGACAGTCCTACACAACATGGTGACAGCTTTAACAAATATGGAGAAACATATTTTTTAATTAAAGTTATATACTGCTGCTTGAACAAAATGCAACTTCATAGCATTTTTGAGAAGTCTTTATTGCTTTATGTATATTTTGCATGTTGCCTATGACTGTTAATAAAAAATTAAGCTACCTATTTGCATACTGTTTGCGGACTGTTGGATGTAAAATTCACTAGTAATGAATATTGTGCTAGTATCGGTATTGGACCAAAGAAAAGAAGGCAGTTGCAAGCCTTTAAAATTGTGACGCTTTTGATTGGTCAGATAGACTTAAGAAACTGTAACAGCAGGTGCACAGGAAGGGTCCAATTCAATTTTTTGTCATGGGGCCCAAGATTCCTAGCGGTGCCCCTGCATCTGTAATTAACCACATTTATTGGTTTCAGTGTCCTTAGTCACATTCAGGCCCAGTTACTGCCTGATTTGTAGAATCAAGAAATCACTAACATAGAACCTATCAGACAACATGAAGTAGGTGTTAGCGATTACTTACAACATGTTAGCGATTACTTTAGTCTCAGGACTAAAGAAATTCAAGAACAGTCCAGAAGACAAGTCATTGGCAAATCAATCTGGAACAAGTTAAAAAAAAAAAAAAAAAAAAAACATTTCTAAGACTTTGGGACTCCAGCTAGAATGATTACTGAATGATTTAATTTGTCCAAAATGTCCCACCAGTTCCCACCTTCCTGGTCGATAACCAAGAAGGTTATCAACCAGAATTTTATAAGGATGTTTTAGAATCATCCTTTTTTCATCTTTGATATATCTCTGCTTCTTAGGTGAGACTGGGAATTAGTAATCTATGTTTATGAACTCCTTGTTGGATTAGATAAACTCCTTTTTAACAGGAATTAGACAGGCACGCCAGTCCAAAATGCACCGGCATAAATTTTAACAGGTCCAAAGAAACAAGAGCACATTTCTCCAGCGATAGCATCTCTGCACTGACTGCCTATTTATTTCAGGATCAATTTGAAAGTTCTGCTATTTGTTTTCAGGTCACTTAATGGCCTTGCACCATCAATTTGACCAGCAGGCTGGTCAAATTGCTGTGTGTAATGGCCGATCTATGTCGTTCCCTCATGTCAGCTGACCAGATGCTGCTGGTGAATCCTAAATCCCAGAGGAAATAAAAAAATGACTGAACGTTTTCTGTTGGGCCCCAAACGAGCTTCCTCTGCACACAAGACAAGCACTCTGTTGATGTTTTAAAATCTCACTTGAAAACACTTTTACTGTTTTGATTTTAACTCAACTTGAGTCAGACATTGTTCTCACTGTTTAGTCTTAGTGATTGTACAATTCAGTGCAATGTTACTGTTTTTAGGATCTTAAGGGTTTTTATCTCTGCTTTGTGTTTTACCTGCAGTGCAGCACTTTGGTCAAGCATGTGTTGTTTTTTTTAAAGAGCTGTATAAATAAACATGTTAAGGTATGGTATTATCCACAAATGCAGAAAACATGGTGAAGCTTTTTCATGTTTGGATTAATTTGGGCTGTTTATACTATGAAGGTCTTTCCATAGCTTTTCATTCCTTTGTGTTAGAGTTATAGAGTTCATCTTGTGTTTTGCTCTTGGTGAATTTTATTTGAATTCTTCTATTAGTCTTAAGCTTTTGGTTGGTGAGAGCCTTATGTTTTTTGTTCTGCCTCTTTTCAGTTTATTTCTGCTTAGTATTCACCATCGCTCAGTTCACAACTTAGATGTTCCACATTTCTCTGATTGTTTTCACCTTGGTTCCTTGTCATATGTTCCTACTGCCTTTAATGGAAGTTCCTTTACTTTGACTATCAAATAATTTTCATCACCAGAGGTTTGCCACTGTCATCTCTGCAGCTGTCTGAGGTTTTATTGGCTCAAGTGGCCTTTATTTGATAGTTAATTGACAGGAAAGTGGGAAATGAGAAAGACATGCGGCAAAGGTCGGGAATCGAACCTGCAACGGCCACGTTGAGGACTAAGGCCTCCATATGTGGGTTGTGCTTAACCCCTGCACCACCGCAGCTGTCTGAGTTCTAAGGAAAAATCCATCGCTAAGAAACACAAAGGACTAAATAATATCTTGATATTCTTTGGATTGAAGAGACATCGGTGTATCTTTTAGGAGGGTGTGTGTAAATTTTCCAAGGCTAAAACTAACAGTGTTTCAGTAGATGGACTGTCAGACATGGTGCTAGCAGGGTGATGGCCTGTGGCTGCTTTGCTGAATCCGAATCTGGATGACATGAATTGAAATGAAGTCCACCTCTAGAAAAAACTAAATTAAAGTTTTGGAGTGGCCTAGTCAAACTAAAGAAGTAAAGTGTTACATCCAGTTCATACGGTTTAACCTTTAACTGGCAACTAATGGTCAAAAACCATTCAAAACAAGGATGTAGACACACTAATCTATCTCAAATGCCTTAAGGCACATAGGGACAGCTTTTTTCTACTATTACATTAAATAGTCATTTGAAAACTTAGTTTTGTATTTACTCACACTATCATGGATGGATGTTTCAATGTGTTTGATGAGCCGAAATATTAAAGTGACACAAAAAAAAAGAGGCAAGAACAAAAGAAGTCTTCCAAGGTCAAATACTTTGCCATAGACTTGTAGTAAAACAGAAGAAGTACTTCAGGATGTGAGTGTAGTAGACACATGAGGAACTGTTCCATCGCCCTACCTGAGCGGACGCAGGGTGCGAAGCAAGCGAAGGACTCGCAGCATGCCCAGGATTCGATTTCCACCTGTTGATGCCATGGAGACCAGAATGTCCACCAGGGACACAAAAACCAGCACGCCATCCAGCACATTCCAGCTGCTCTGAAGGTACACACCTTCTCCAAAGTACAGGCCCATTGCTACAACCTGGTGACACACACAGATCCAACTGAATTACTTAAACAATAAAAAAGGACGAGACATAAAACTTCTCTAGTCCCCACCCAGGAGGAAAATTGACTCTTTTCATGAGCGAGATTAGAAAAAGTTGTATGAGTGAAATGCTTGTGCAGTAAAAGGGTTCTGTTATAGTTACCTTGATCATCATCTCGCCCACAAAGATGATGGTAAAGATGTAATTAGACACGCTGAGAAACATTCGCTCCTGTTACAGACACACACAGGCACATGTATGAGAGCATTCACTGACACAAAGCAAGAAGCATTTGTCATTTCAAAGGTAATGTGTCCAAGTAGCTTTTGCTTTGAGCCTGGATAGAAACATGATACATAATGAGCTGAAGAAAGGCCAACTTAGAATCCAGAGAAATTATTTAGTTTATGTAGCGAAACTACTCATACCTTAACTCAACATTATCGGAACAAGAATCCAGAGAAACCCCTACCAGTTTATAAATCACGGATTACTTATTCTTAAACGTGGGGTTATAGATTTTTGTTTTATTTTTTTCTTTTGCTCTTCTTTTGATTTGTTGCTTTGTTGTATTTCCTTCTAATTCATGTAAAGCACTTTACATTGCCTTGTTGTTGAAAATATGCTATATAAATATAATTACTTACCATAGCAGATATAGTGGACACAAAAGCGAACAAACGTGATCGCTGATCTCAAACTAAGGTTGCATCAGCTGCAAACAAATAATCCCCAGTCTGTGCAGACGGAAACATTTTGTCTTTTTCCCCCCCCATTATCTTCAGCATATGGTAAAACCTTGTGCACAAGACAAATTGACATTGTTCTCTCCAACAGAGGAAACTGCACTTTAAAGAGATTACATGTTGTTTTAAGATCTTCCTAGTATGGGAGTTAAATTCTTCTGCGGGCACCTCTAATAACCAATCCTGTGTAATGACTTTCTGCCACTTTAAATGACTTCTATGTCATAAACTAGACAGTGTCATTGGTTTTCAAAACCAAATTAATCTCACAGTTTATCGACTAAATTAGTTTCAACTAAAGATGAATTCTTAACCGGAGGTTTCAAATAGCTTAAAAAGAAGAGATATCTTGCAATGTATATAATAAAAAGAATAGGTATGGAAATTAAAGGCCTTTACCAGACATGATAAGAAGAGACATCACTGATGCAAACTTCCAAAAGCTCCTAAAACAATTAAAAAGTTATCTTTACCATTCAGGTTTTCATGGAACTCCTTTAATAGTTTAAGAACAGTTAGTTACAGTAGAATAGCTTTACAAATAAATGTATTGAATAGCACCTAACTTCAGCCATATCTTAACCTGTTAAAATCCCTTTATTATGCCATCACCTATTTATGAAACATAACTCCATAAATGGTCTGGGAAGCAGACAAATAGTCCAGAAAACTGCTTCCCATGCCTCTTGCTAAATAAAATAAATTTTGTATGATCTCCACTAAAAACATAACGAAAAAAGGGCAAAAGATAATTAAGTTATTAGGGACGATGAATATGATGCTAAAGAAAGGAGTCATGTTCATTAGGTCATGTAATGGTGAAGCAGCAGAATACTGCATGATGTGCACTAGGGTTCATGAGCAGCTTACGATTAAATTTGTAAAGTTTAAAGTGGAATAACTGGTTGCATAAATAAAATGAAAATTTACCACAATACTCTGATCCTCATATTCAAATTAAAATTCCTGAAATCACCTGAACCTGACTTTGAAGGCTGCTGACTTTCACTCTGCAGTGTAGACTTTATCTGTTTTCTTTTCTTTTTTTTTCTTTTCTTTTCTGAGAGACAATGACGTGTGTCCTACACTGAAGGGTATTTCAAATGAAGCCCTGACACTACCGTATTTTCCACACTATGTTTTATGTTTTGTATTTACTACCCTAACCCTAACCCTAAGTAAGATGGACATATTATTGTGTATATTTTGTCATTAGAATATTACTTTACTGTATTTATGTCCACCGGTGAAATACCAGCTAATATTAGCTACAGTGCTTGGTGTAATACGGGTTCAGCCCCGCTATGAAGGCTAACTGAGATTCTGTAAATCTAAAAAAATTAATTATTCTCTAACATTGACTTAGATTATCTGACACAAGGGCCTATATTAGAAATGAAACACATATTATAAAACTTATATTATGTGTTATAACATTCACCAGCAAAGTTTACACAGGTGGTAAAGACTATTATTTATATGTAATTCTTTCACTCTGTCAAAGTAAGATACATCCCAAATCTTCCGTTTTTGTTTTGAAGGTTTCCTAAAGACACGATGTGAGGAAGAAGAGGGAGAAATCTATAAAGAGAGACGGATTCACTGCAGCACGGATGAATCTCGCATTGGATTTTGGACTCAATCTCAGCTGCTGAATCTCTGAAGCTGGAAATCCTCAGCTGAAAAACATATACATATATCTATATATATGTATGTATATACATACATATATACATATAAATATGTATCCAATATATATTATTCAGTATTAATCATTATTTATTTGTGCCATTATTCATCTTTATTTATTTGTGTTTGTATAGTTATATAAATATATATTGATATTACCAAATAATTTATTAAATAAATTATGAACAGCTGTGTGCTTTGTAATATGCTCATCATACATCAATATCAAAATATTCCATTCCTATTCTATTGTTATAGCCACTAAGCATATTTAAATATGATGAACTATGTATTAAAAACATACTTAAAAAATACAATTGTTTATAAATGTAGCTTTGATAAATGTTTGAATATGGTTTACAGTAACAAAAAGTGTGTTATGATCGATTAAATGCGCTGATACGTCATTGTGCTGCTAAACACATAACGCTGAGTGGAGTGGTGTACCGCTCCAAGATGGCCGCCCTAAATCTCGTCAGCAACAATAGGCAAGAGCGTGGTCCATGAGGCGTCTATCCTTATATTATGTCTATGGGTAGATAGGTCAGTCAAACTTTACTAATATATTACAAACCAGCGTTCTGACAACTATCCCAGAATGCACCGCGCGCTTCTTCTTCTACGGGCGAAAATGAAGTCGGCGGCTGCTTGCCGTAGTTGCTAGACCTGTTGTGGCTCAATATTGGTCCATATATAGGGCGCACCGGATTATAAGGCGCACTGTCAGCTTTTGAGGAAATTGAAGGTTTCTAGGTGCGCTTTATAGTGCGGAAAATACGGTACTTTTTTCCGAATTTAACCTGAGGCTGCTTGTCTTTGGTGTAGTACTGCTTAACACTGATATGCCTCTGATTTTTCATTTACGCATTAAAATATTTATCCACCCTTCCATTAATTTTCTACAGCTACCTAATCCTGGGTTACAGAAGGGCAGCTAAAGCTTATTTCTACAAGTCAAAGAAGGTAATTTAGGGAATACCCTGAACAAGTTGCCAATTCATCACAGAGACAAACGCCAATTGACAAACTCCCAATTAATAGAGTTGGGACATTGACATGCAAACTTCGGACAAATGTGTTATCTTTTTAGACAATATTTAGGAAAAGTCATTGTTGTAATAAAAACTTAAGCCCAAACAAAGAAGTTAATGTATTTAAGACATGAAAGAATGTTAAATTACAATAAAGAATCAAACGACAGTAGTAGTGTGAGAAACTTTGAATGTGTTTCTAAATACAGTTTAGAGAAAATATCATGGGTACTTTCATGAATAAGTTAAGTATTAAACATGTCAAGATCACTTGAGTTTTTGAGCATTCAACTTTTCCTAGTTTTATTAAACATGAATCATTATTCTAAGTAATCAAAGTGATAAAACATTTTTTTCAACCCAAGTATGCATGTAATCATGCAAGAGTGAACAGTTCTGTTGACAAATATATCATTTAAAACTTTACTTCACTGATTAAAAGCTATTGATATGGAGCTGATAGCGAAAATTCAAGCTGGAAGACTCCGCCCCCTCCGTTCGCCCATCGGTGTCATGCTCATCTCTGACCTCAGCGCTGGACCTCACCCAGCACGTCCAATCATCAATCAAGCTCTGCATAAAAGGATCCACACCCAAGCCGTCAGCCGGTTCCCAGCTGCGTTCAACCCACCACCTCCCCTTCTCCACCCACAACCTTCGGCTCTCCAGGATAGCACCCTTTCCCGACCTCCACCACCAGTGTCGGGCCCCGGGGAAGAGCATCCCTAATCAGTTATCGGGATGTTCATCAATTTCACATCAAATCTCAGCTCAAATCAGCTACCGGGGCCCGAGCGCCAAAGAACTGTTACTCATTCCTCTCATTAAATCTTTTAATTGTTCCTTTTTCTTCGTCTGAGTCTTTCCAGATTGAAATGTTCTGTGAACCCTTGAAATAACTCTTTCAGGGAACCCACTTTCAGTGTTGAGGTTAAGAGATTTTTTCCTCTTGCTCTTTATTTTGCAGTTTTGACTATTTTTTCACTCCTTCGGTGTGCTTGTATAAAGTTAGCGTTTATACAAATACTTGAAAGCCTTCATATGCTTGTTTTATATGTTTTCATTAAAGATGGTGTAAATTACAAGAGTTAATGTGTTGAGAAGATATGGGACCCTGTACTAAAATTTCCTCAGCGAAAGACTGCAAATGACAAACCTGCCACTGCTTAGTAGTTTGTGTATTTTCTTTGTGTATTTGTAGAAAGATGTGGATCATTCTAGGGTGTATTTATCTCATGTTGTCTTGACTAGCTGTTGTTTTTTGATGTGCCGATTTTGTGTGGGTGGTTGGGAACTTGATCTGTTATGTTAATGTATGTCAAAATGAAAAAAAATGTTAAAGAAAAAAAACACAAAAGACTGGCAAAACAGATGGTGTAAAAGGTGGTTAAAACACACCCCTACACCCAGAGTGCAGGTATTACACCACAAACTGGCAAATGAAAGTGTGTACAAACAGGGTACGAGTCTAATGTAAGTCTAGAGGATTTCCACTTTGAAGTGTGAAGCTTCAAAGAATCATAATGATCCCTGGACAGTTCATGGTGCTTCACATAATTGTGTACAATGAGAGCTCAGCTGAGTAATATATCAAAGATCTGGTCTTACAGACTCCCCGGTTACATAACTGTGAGAAGGAATGGTATAATTTAAGTTTTCATGTGTGTGTGTTTTTTGTGTGACGCATTCACCACTTGTTTAGTTTTAGTTCTTTAACAAGCAGTGCTCAAACATCACGTTTCCACAGGTTCAGGACACTATTTTAGTGTAAGAGTGCATAAAGCTGCTGTTATACACTGTTGGGAATAAATAATTATGTGTTTTCCTCTATCTCTTTAAGCTGCTTGCATGTTCGTATATGCACACACATACACACATAGCACACATACACACATAGCACACATACACACATAGTGCACATGCACACATAGCTAAGGCTAAAGGAAGTGACACACTAGTAAACACCCTCTTTAGGGCCAACAAAAGGAATCAGAAGCTGTTGTTAAGGGCCATTTTGCTCCATAAGGAGACTATGATAACGGACCAGTGCTGCAGTTTAATCTTAATAAATGGAATTCATGAATTCAACTTACTAACTCTTCTTGAACCTCCTACATTAAGATCTAAATGGAGAAAGGATAATCTCCACAACACACACACACACACACACGCATACACTCATATTCATACTGTCTGCAGAGATCTCAAAGCTGAGATCTCTACAGCTTTGTTCCAGTCCAACTGATGGCAATAATACAATAGATTGTCATTTTTAACAACCAATTTATATTTTAACATATAATTATTTGTATGCAAATGTTTTCTCTGTCTGTGACAGACTGGTGACCTGTCCAGGGTGACCCCGCCTCTTGCCAAAACATTCGCTGGAGATGGGCACCAGCACCCCTCCTAACCCGTCTAAGGACACGGGTGTAAGAAGATGGATGGATGGATGGATGGATGGATAGGTGTTTTCTCTGTTTTTTTATGTCTTGTTTTTAAAAACTTGTTTGAAATAAATAAATCAATCAGTTTTATTTAACTTTATCTGACAAGGATAAAAACCCACTGACATAAAAAACCTAAGTATTTTTCAAAGGAGTCCTGACCAACAGGCAGCAACAAAAACTGTAAGCAGTTAAAAGAAAATTACAAGTTATAAAACACAGGTACACGTACATCTGTACAGACCCATAAAGATCCACAAACACCTTTACAGACCCATATGGTTCTGATCCATATGGGACATGTACAGACCCATAAAGACCCGCAAAGATCTATAAAGATCCATAGAGACCAATGCAGACCCGTAAATACTCGTGAAGACCATACATATGCATAAAGACCCGTACAGAACTGAACAAGCCCCTAAAGACCAGCAAAGTTACTTAAAAACCCGACTTTATTCATAGTATTGTAAGTTTATTTGAATTCCAGAGGTAAACAGGATGATATTCCCAAACAAATACAATATGCTGTGGAAGGTGTGTATTTTGTAAACAGCCTCGTAAACCCTTTTCTGATTTTGCTTAAAAATCAGCTTCACAAACAGGATTTATCCAAATATTAATCGTTCTTTATGTTTAATTTTGACCCTGTCACAATCATTTTAAACATGTGGATCCAACTCTTGTTTTTTAAAACAGATACTCGTCCAAGTTAAGACAACATCACTTGTCTTTGTCTCCTCCAGCAGTGTTGTGGTACTCGAAGTTGGTCTTGGTCTCGAGACCGGTCTCGGGCTCTGAGGACTCGGCATTTTATTTC